TTTATTCATCTCCTCTTTTACAAACGCTATTGTGCCTAAGATCAGACACTAACAAACCTAGGAACTCTGACCTCTTCACTTGACGACCATATACACATGACTTGGTAATGAACCTGCTTCAGTTCAAAGTACAACAGCTACAATCTTTATGGAGGACAAGTTGAAGATAAAGTGAAGATTTGGTTAAAAAATTTTGATCCAGTGAAGTACTAGTTAGGATTCAATAAATCTATTATGATCTTTTAGATATATTCAAATTTTAGATTTGAATTTATCTTTAGAATATTTGATATTATCCTTTAGTCTTTAGTTCTGAATTTTAAATTGTTTTAGGATAGGATTTTGCATTTTGGATTTTAAATTGTAATTGGAGAGATTTGATATGAATAAAAATTAGAGTTGAAAGAAATTGGAGTGATTCCTCAATAGGTATCTGTGAGTGATTGCAGCCCTTTCTTATATTAGGCAACTGTCAGGGAATCCGACCTCTTCGTTTAATTTTAAGTTATCATTCTTCATATTAAATCCTACCCATCCATCTCAAATAAAGAAAAAACTCAATCATAGTCATCCTCCCATTAGATAAAGTCGAGTCATCTTCGAACCCCAAATTTCAAAACCTTTGTTTGCTCCTTTCTCACATAAGAAAGAGAATGCATGACAAGTTAAAGATACAGTGAAATTTTGGTTGAAGAGTTCGAATTCGTATAAAACACTAGTTAGGGATAAATAAGTCAATCTGTTATAATACTTTCGATTAAGATTTCAAATTTTAAATTTGACTTTATCTTTTAGAATATTTTACTTTTATTTACTAGGTGGATTTTTCTAGTTATTAATTTTAAATTATATTTGGATTGGATTTTACTTTTAAATTTTAAGTTGTGTTTTAGATAGGAGTCCGACTCTATTTAAGGAGTTGTGGGTTTTATTACTTTATCAGAGAGAATAAAGAATGATGAAAATTTTAGAATGTGGTTTGCTGGTAAGGCATGTGAATTGCTTTAATGTGAAACTACTCCGGTGAGATGTTGTTGGTGATTTTGACCTAGCCACAATGCCCAAGCTTCCAACGCTTATCGATCTTTTTCTGATAGCCTACAATGAAGGCTCGATTTGATATATTTTAATACATACAAATTCTAATCTATTTCAAGTAGGAGTCTTTGTACACTCGGTCCCTGCATCAAATTTGCTTCTCATGTTTCTTTCAACTAGCTTCATCTTATAACCAACAGCAATGATCTATCTTCTCATGTTTCTCCCTCTAGCACATACTATCAAATGCGTAGTGAAGTTTCAGATTATTTAAAGAAAGAATCCTATAAATTTTAAGGGGGTTTTGCCTTTAAACCCAAAGTTTTACCGCCATTTATTTTTAAACCCACTACCTTCTATCTATAGCTAATTAGCTATACATCTAAAACTTACATCCAAAACAGTTTTTCATTTTATCTTTAAGCCTAGAACATTGATTACACTATATTTTCTATATATTATTTATAAAAATATAGCTAATACCTCCAAAATTCCCTTGTCTTCCTCCTCCATTAACCCATAACCCATTTTCTCCATCCTCTCACCCCCTCCTCTCATCCTATCCATTCTATCAATTTCTTTATTTAGGCTTTTCTCCACCCTCTCCTTCATCTTCTACATCACTTCATCCTTCTCCCTCTCCCAACACCCACCTCTTCCACCTTCTCATTATCAAGTTACAGATTTTGTTGCTATACTATAATTTTTTGCTATACTCACTGGTTTTATAGTGATATATACAAATTTTGTTGTTATACTTACATCCGTAGTTGATATACTTAAAAGATTTTGTTACTATACATGCATGCATTGTTGCTATACTAATAGTCTTTATTGCTATACTTGTATGTATTGGAGGAGGGAGAGAGATGATGGTGGAGGAGAGGGAGGTGCGCGAAGAGAGGGCAAGAGGAGGTGGAGGTAGGTGATGGAAAGTTGGCAGTGGTGACTTGAAGAAGGGGGAGTGAAGGAGAGAGAAGAGGATGTCCTTGAAGTGAAGAGGATGAGTTCTTTTATCAAAAAGCGGAAGAAGGAAATTTTGGGTAATTTTATTTCATTAAGAGACATAATATGCGCATGTAATTGTATTTTATGCGTTTGGATTCAAGGATAACTGCAAATAGTATTTTGGGTGTATGACTGTAGACAACAGTAAATGGGTTTAAAAATAAATCATGATAAAACTTTGGGTTTGTAAGCAAAAACTCCTAAATTTAAGGATTAACTTCTAACACGCTAACGAATCCTTAACCCTCCAAAATCGACTAGTGAATCTAGTTTATATCTCAAAACTAGAAAACAAATACCTTCAATTCTTAAACTTTATCATGCATGTTTAATGATGCATACATGTAAACAACAACCAAATTCAAAAAGATTTATTATTGCAGCCAAATGTCAATCTGTAAAACTTTCAATGAAATTTTAGAAAGAAATTCCTACCTATAAAAGTTGCAAAATACAACGAAATAACTTATAGGAGAATATCATAAATGTATATTTAGACAAAAATAATAATACCTTTTCTTATAAGAGGGGATGCTGTCATTCCAAAAATTGTAGGCTTATGCACAGTCTTGCAATAAAATTCCTAAAGTAGAATATGGAAAGGATTAAAATGCAAGTACAAAAATGTTAATTAAAGAGAGAAAGTCCACTATGCATAATACTAGTAACACCTTCATTATTTTGGCATACGGATGGTTCCCCGAAGCACGATGACACTCGTCGAATATTATTAGTCGGATCATATCCAGTGTCAAGAATGCTTTCCTCAGGGCATCTAACAATATTTGGGGGGTCATAACAATCACCTGTAGATTATATGTATCATGTAATAGACATTGTTGTTAAGGACCTACAATTGTATAAAAAAACTCCTCCAAAATCAAACAATAAACACCACAAATATGCAGTGGAGTTGTATTAGGCTCCACATATGTGATTGTTTCATATATTTGAATAGCAACAATGACAATCGATTATAGAGAATGAAACTCTAGAGGGTTTAGACGACAAAGATGATAGTAGAGTTGCATTAGGCTCCATAGCTTCTATTGTTTGTTTACTATGATACCTAGGTACTTCTAATCTGAAGCCATATTCGTACCCAATATAAACCCATACCCAAACTCCTTGGACACTCCTTGCATATATGCATACATTTATTCGGGCATGTACTCAATTATACAATATATGTTTTAACTTGTCATACATTTTTTAGACATATATCCAACACATCAACTTAGCTTATTAAAACTCGTTGGACATAGGTCAAGTTCCAAATTATGATTTTGAAAGGTCGTTTAGATGTCTAGTTTAAAAACTAGTAATTTCCCAATTTACAATCCACATGCTAAAAAAATATTATAGGAATTTTAATGCTCATCCTTGTTCCATATAAATTATTAATTCTAATATATAACTTATGTGTATATAAATGTTTATATAGCCATGTCCCTTTACCCTACCTTTTACAAATTTGCAGTGTATTGTACCCATATTGGTACTGGTACTCGTACCCATGTAACATAGTTGTTTAGGAGCAAAGTTGAGCTTTTCCTCTATCTCAAATAATTTTGAGCAGAAGCAATTCAAAGCAATCCAAGTTCTGTAGAATCTAGTTTAGAATCTTAGTATTCATTTAAAGTTTGGATTGAAATTTTCTTTGATGCTAGAATGGTGGGTGGTTATAATTACACAAGCAAAAACAATTAAACAAAACAAAAAGAATAGATAAAAATTGTGGCCTCACACCACAATGAACTCATGGCCCTAGGCCCCTATACAACCAAGAAACCTGGGAAGGCTGGGATGACATCAAAGCTTAATTCTCAAACACAGAAAAGTTTCATTTTTTTCCAATCATCATGCAATTGCATGAAAGCATATGTGACTATGAAAATATTTTTTTTCTATCTAAGAAACTAGATAGATCTTGAAAGATTCAAAAGGTACCGTTCCTAAATCTAAGATAGGTAAGAGAAAGACCTTCCTTATTGTTTAATACTACAAAAAAAATATCACATATTTAAAGATAATAAAAGTTTACTAAATATTAAAAGTATCTAACTAGAAGATCAATCTAACCCACTCCAATCTAATAAAATATGTTCATATCTAGTAGAATCCTAATCAAATCCACTTCCATAATATCTCAAACAAACCTTTTTGGACTGAACCCATGTCAGATCATAAAATTAAATTTGTCTTTAACTGAAAACATTTTGCATCAATTACCTTCTAAGTCTCCATAGCTTGATGTCATGTAGAAGCCTAAGCTACTGATGAGAATAGTGCATTTGGAATTTTTGGAAGGCGGTGGCAAACAAAAAATAGATAATTGGAAGCAGAAAGAGTATATAGAGAAAGAAGATTAGGATTAGATTTTTTAGAATCACTCCTTTGGCATCGCACGAATTAAGGCCTCTCACCTTCAAACTACAGATTCCCACTAAATCACACAATTTAAAGAAGTCATAAGCTTTTCGCTAACATCTTCATACTTCTATTAAGGAAAACCAATCTTTTATCTACTTATAAAACTTAATCACCAAGAAACTACTTTTTAATAAGAAAGAATTCAAATCATGTTAAAAAAAATACAAGGAGCTTATAAAAAAGATTTGTAACATCAAAATTCTTAGCTAATAGTCTTTCTGTAGAAGGAAACTCCAATCAAAATGAAAATTCTTCATACTAAAAGACATCGTTGTGGAAAGCGGATAGTGTCGCATAGCAGTGAGGCACCGCTAAGACTATGTGGAGCTATAGCGGCAAAATAGCACAAAGTTAAAACGCGATCCATTTTAAATATGTTATCTTGAGCTTGACGCCAATGTTGTAGCGTTGAGCCGGTGAAAGGCTGAAGACGGTGAAGGGATGATTTTGGTTGCTGAAGCTTGAGGGATACCAGAGATTGCCTCAACGAAGGGCTGATTTGATGGTGGAGGACTAAAGCTTGAGGGCTGTTGAAGCTCAAGGGGTGAAGACGAGAGGGGATAGTGAGAGAAGACTAAGAAGAGGTGGCGTTGGTATTGAGCTTCTAAGAGGATGATACAGAGCTTCGATGTGGCAAGAGACGACGGGAGGCGACGGGTTTAGGGGAGAAACGGGAATGCAAAGATGAGGCGGCGTCATTTAGGTTTTTTCTATCGATAGAGAGGAGAAAGAGAAATGGGAATAGGAATTGGGTTTTATTAAAAAAATCAAGTTGGGTTTGGTACATGTTCATTGACGACTTTTAAATAGCGGGTTAAGCGCTAAAAAGCAAACTTTTTCTGATTTTTACTGCTTTAGCGCGCTTCTCACCACTAGTGTGAGCAAAAGCGTTGAGAGCGCTTTTTGCTAGCAATTGCCCAAGCAGTGCGATGGACCACCAGTAACGGTATTAGCATCACTATAGCGACATTTTTCCATATATAAACCCTGTTAAAAGAAGTTTCATCTACTTTGTTCTTACGGTATTAGCATCGCTATAGCGGCATTTTTTCCAAATATAAACCCTGTTAAAAGAAGTTTCATCTATCTCTGTTCTTCTTATCTGTACCTTTGTGATTTTTAATGAGAAAATCATCCCATATGAGATCTTCTCTCCTAGGAGAAAGCAAGACCTTGAGTTTGAAATTCACTTTACCTAGTTAACAGCAACTTTCTTTTTGATGAAGAGGGTCCATCAGAGACTGTGCATCAAGATATATGAAATTTAGAAATTGTCAACATCGAAGCTGCTACAGTTGGTTCCTACGCAAACTAAATGAATCCTAATCCCAAATGTGGATAAGTTATTACTAGAGAACCTGTGGCTGGAAAATTTTAGGTATCATAATGATTATAAATTTTGACCCATATTATTCATTTGCCCTCTAGTTGGTTTTTTTTACGAATAAAAACAAATTAGATAGGTTTTGATAGTTAATTTTAAAATATTATCAAAAAATTGTACTTGCACCAGCTAAGTTGCTCAAACATAATCAACTGCAAGATGGACTAACAAAATCAATTGGAAAATGAATATAAAAATTGCTACATGAACATAATAGAAGAAAACATATTCGTCTAAATGCAAAAAAGAATGCCTATAGAATACATAACAAAAACTATGCGCATGATGAACAACAAAAATATAGTTTTATTCCCTTAATTTTTTCCGCATAAAACACAAAGAAGTGTTCAAGTTTTGAAAATTTTATCTAAGAATTATGATAAAGAAAGTAAGTAACAAGAAGGGGAAATTTCAGTGACTTAATCAAAGGATTTTGATAACTAATGAGGGGGGATAATGAGAATGAACAAAAGAAAAGTTGACTCATATCATGGAGCACCTATCCAAAATTGCATCACTTGCAATATCATCACCCAATGTGTGCAAGGCTGATGTATTCAACATCTTACCAATAAATATCTGATATTGTGAAGCTTACCATCTTCCACAATCCATCAATTCAATCATGATCATTAAAAAATGGTAGCAAATTTTAGAATGTGTGGTACTACCAAAAGAATTAAGATCAACACAAAATATGTACAAAACAATAAAGCGCCAATAGTAATCACGAAGCATATTTATGTTAAAATATTCGTGAACCTTGTGAGCAGAGATCTCTTTTTCCCACGATTCAGAATTCCAGTGATCCATGACCAATGCACCGCAGTACTGTGCAGTACTCAAGTTGGTTTGAGCCTTGATCACTTCATATTGCTTAACCAACACAAACCCACACATAAATTACACATTTATTTATTTTTATTATAAAAAAGAAGAAGAAAACGTTCTTTTTAAAATTTTAAAAAAAAAACCTGGTGAACAAGATGAACAGTGGGCGCAAGGAAAACGATGACCCTTTTTTTCTCCTCTCCAACACCAAGATCCTTCGCCAGCTCCTGGATCAGCATAAGTGCGATCATCGTCTTGCCTGACCCTGTGTCGAGAACAGCTATGGTGTTCTCCTTCATTGCCTCTTCGTAAATTTTTACTTGGTAACTAAAATCCCACACAAAACCAAATCAAAAAAGCAAACAAGAAAGGAATATGTGAGAAAAATCGAATTTTTCCCAGAAATCAACCTTCTTGGCTCGAAATCTTTGGTTGAGAGCTTCCGCTTCTTTGCCGCCATTATC